AAAATGAGGCACTACTGGACAGAGAAGAGAGATAGAAGAGATTGAGGGGGGTGGATGATTAGACACAGAAGGGGGGTGATTTGAGGGATTCAAAATGTACACATTTTAGGGGGGGATTAAACTTTTAAGGGGTTAATTTGGTATGTCAGATTAAAAATTCAGAATGACCTTACACGTTAATAGCTTGAGATAAGTTGAGATTACCGCATCCATCCGATGATGTTTTATTTTATCCCGAAACAACCTGAGTCTATTTTATCTTTGAAATTTAGAAACAACTATAATTTATTATATACATACGAATTTGTTCAAATAAAAAGATAATAGAGATTAATTTTTAAGAACCCTTCAAAATAAAGAATTGAACGGGAATAGATGACCACTTAGAGCATCTCCAATAAACTATCTATTCTCACTCAATTGTCTATTATAGAAAGTCCACTCTTAAAATTTCATCTTCAATGGATTCTTTATTTAGACTCTCTAAAATAAAGAGTCAAATTTAGCTCTCTACATTTAAAGAGTCAAACATACTCTCTACTATATTTTTTTTTTGGGTCAGGCTATTCCCACCCCTTAAATCTCATTTTCCCACTATTTAATTATCTTACTTCATATTACTAAGTTCACTCCATATATACTCACCCCCATTAATTACTAAAACCCACTTTTCTACATTTACAAATTAAAAATTAAATTCATTCAATTTTATTTCAACCTACTAAAAAGATAATGATAAAAAATTTATTTAAGTGTATTATTTCGGTACAAAAATATTTTGGAAGCAAAATAAAAATTAATAATTATTTTTAAAATAGTAGTCAAAATATCTTAAAATAGTTCAAAATATTCCAAAGATATTAGTGAAAATATATCAAAATAACTCAAAATACTTTGAAAGAATATAGATCACCTCGGAACTTTGAAATTTCGTTTCAATTATTATTTTTATTTCGGTTTCTTTGACATATATTTAATAGTTTAATTGAATGAATATAAATGAGGTTAACTTAGTAACGAATAAGGTGAGTATAGATAGGGTGAACTTAGTAGTTTGAAATAAGATCATTAAATGAGGTGAAAAAAAAGATTTAAGGGGTGAGAATAGCCCCACCCTTTTTTTTTGGAATATGACGCATGTATTTTTTAAGAGTAAAACAATCAGTCAAAAAGTTTTATAAAAATTGACATTATATAACTAAAAGTGATCTTAGATGTAATTTAGAGATCAATCAAAAGGTTTCATAGAAATTGACATTTATATATAGGAAATATATAATAAAGTGATCTTAGATGTTATTTAGAGATTTAAATGCATAAGGATATGGTGATAATTTAGACATTAAGTGTGGAAGGATAGAATGACTTTTTCAATTTATTTATGGGGGTAAAATAGTGAATTAAAATTTTTTCATGTTAAGGTACTTTTATTTGTATTTAGGATTATCTAGATTAATTGGAATCAAATTTAATATACAATTCTATAATATATATTATAAAGCATATTATTTTTTTTAAAAAAATAAAGTTTTCACATAAAATCTTAATAAAGTATGAAAAATTTACTGCTACTAAAAAATCATGTAAAACTATATATATATATATATATATATATATATATATATATATATATATATATATATATATATATATATATATATATATATATATATAAATATATTTTATCTTAAAAATGAAAGGGTTAAACATATTGAAAAAAAATAAAATATAAATATGTAGTCATAATATTATATTTATAAATAAGGTGAGTAATATTATATGATGGAATTTTTGAAGACTTTTTTGAATATTTGTTAAAACTTATAATGACGCATATATTTTTTAAGCGTAATATAATCAATCAAAAAGTTTTATAAAAATTGACATTTATATATAGGGAATATATAACTAAAAGTGATCTTAGATGCAATTTAGAGATCAATCAAAAAGTTTCATAGAAATTGACATTTATATATAGGGAATATATAACTAAAAGCGATCTTAGATGTTATTTAGAGATTTAAATGCATAAGAATATGATGTAATTTAGATATTAAGTGTGGACGGATATAATGATCTTTTTAATTATTTATGAGGGTAAAATAGTGAATTAAAAATTTTTCATATTAAGGTACTTTTATTAGTAGTATATATAGATATAGATATAGATATAAACCCCTTTAATAAGTAATTTAAAAAACAAGAAAGAAAAATTTATCAAAATCCAAAAGAAAACAAGAAAACAAAGGAAAAAATCCGTTGCCAAAAAAATAAAAAACGAAACAAGTTTTTTAATTCACAAACAACACAAGTTTGCCAAACGAAACAAATTTTCTATTTTAAATAGCCTTTGTTGCCACTTTTAAAAAAAATCTGAATACAAATACACACACATAAACGCTAATCAAAATTATTAAACTTGACAAAGTTACCGAAACATAATAACAATAACGAAAATTCACACAGCCCACACAAAATAAAACATAGATTTAAATTAAAAAGTAATATTAACTTGTATCACATTAGAGAAATCAATATTGAAAAAGTACTTTTAGTGCATGAGATGGAATAATGAATAAAATTTTAATTTTGAGAGTGGACTTACTTATTTAAGGGGTCTATATAACATAGATTGGACTTAATTATTAATAGATAAATATAAATAGGTGAAGTTAATAGTTTGATAATAAAAATTTAAATGGAATGCAAATAAATTATTGTGAGACGGGAATAGTCGCACTAACTTTTTACCAAAAAGTCCCTCTATTTTGAAAAAAATGGCCTTTAAGGAGTACTAGAGGAGGTGGTCAGTACAAACGCTTCTGCTGAGTGAGATCCTGACCATCCGATTAACCCGTGATGGTCCGTTGGAATCATCTTATCTCTCGGATTATTAAAAAGGTATAAAGCATAGAAATGCTCGCTAGCGCAGGCTGAAGAGAGAGAGGTGTAGAAAGAGAGAGCAAAGCAAAGGGCTAAGATGGGGGGAGGAATGGAGGCAAATAAGAACAGGTGGATAGAAGAGTGGGGCACAGCAAGGGAGAACCTTGAGCACAACTTCAGGTGGACCCGCCGCAACTTTGCCCTTGTTGGCCTCTTCGGCATAGCTCTGCCAGTCCTTGTCTACAAAGGCATCGTCAAAGAATTTGTAAATCCTCTATCTCTGTGCGTGTGTGTACATGTCCATGTTTTATTTGTTATTTAGATTTGGCTTTTTGAGATCTATATGTAGCCTGATTACCTTGATTTATTTTCTGGGTCGATTTAGTGTAAAATTTGGGGAATTTTTTGAAAAGATGTCTAATAGTCTCTGTGTATTCGAATTTGTTGAGATTTCCGTGACTTTTTAATTATCACGTAGCTGCTGAAATTTGCAGAAATAAAGTTTATGTTTGGGTTTCTTCGATCTTTTTTGGCCACTCGGAATCTGGAATTTCTCGTTCGGAAAATTTGGTTTCACCTGATAGATTAACAGTAGGGAAATGTAGTTTGTTGGGGATTTTGTTGAAACTTTGGCTTGTGGTTTTGATAAGTATTATTTGTGTCTAAAATTGTTTTTGAATTTTGGGAGTCATATTTGATTCGAAGCTGATAAATTGATCTGTTATGCTATTGTTAATCATAATGATTTTGTTTTATCATGAACTGAGCAATAATTAGTGCATTTTAGCAGTTTGGAATCTAAAAATTGTAATTTGGCCAATGAGTTTTCAATCCAATTGAGCTTTCTTTTTCATCACCAAGCTTCTCATTTGGTGAAACTGGTTCCACCCAATCGATGATCAGTTGTGAGGTGGCAAAACAACTCAAACTTTATTTTCCAGCCAATAAGCCTAAAAATTGGATATCGAAATGCCAGTTGGCAAAGGGTCTGGTTTTACTGGTTGCAAGTTGTGATGTATGTGATCACTTATTCGAGAGAACTTCGGGGTCTTAAATGTTATAGTCAAGTCTCTAGTGTTGTCCACCTACAAAAGATAGATGCGTAATAAGCATGCTAGAACCTGTCAAAAATAGGGAGTTCAAAGTCTTAGTTCTCATTATTCGTAGTCAGTTGGTCTAGCATCTGATTCAATAGTTTAGATAATTCTATTCAAAATATAATCTGTAAAGCTAGAACTGGCTGATTTAGTGGTGGTCAGTCCTTGTTTGCTTTTCAAAGGGTTCCTTAGCCGTTGTTAGTCATATATTCTTACCATGGTTAGTTCAGAGAGATTATCTGTCTTAATTGCACTTGCATGGGAGTTTAGATAGCACTATTGTGTACCATGGGACATTCAGTTACTTGTTAATTTCTTATATTAGGATTCTGATTTTCTAATGGGTTGGCACTAAATTGGTCATTAACATAACAAGAGACATAAGTGGATATAGGATCCTCATTTCAGTTTGTTGGGAATCCAATATTTAGGTCTTCTTTTGGGAGGGAATCCATTATCCTTGATTTTTTGGGACCTATAATGGAGAAAGTTAGTAAAAGACTAGATGGTGAAAGAGAGCATTTATTTCTAGAGAAGGTAGGTTAACTTTGATTTAATTAGTTTTGACTACTAGACCTTATTTCTATCTCTATTTAAAGTGCAATGTAAGCTATGAAGTAGGGACACTCTCAAGAAGGTGACGTATCTGTGTCAGACACGTGTCAGACGCCGACACTTCTCGGATACTCTTGAACGGGTGTTTAATACTTTGTTGTCCGTTTTCATAATTAAATAATAAAATTATAATTTCGAATATGTGTTCAACACTTCTTTGGTGTTGTGTTCGACACTTCTTTAGGCCATGCCTATTACTAAACAATAAGCATGCAGTGATATGTGATTAACAAAGCTTAAAAATTTGACTAATAAGTATCTTAGACTATAAGAGAACATATAATTTTCAAGGCTAAACATGTTGAAGTTGTACTCAAAATATCATAATAAAATCAAAGGATGCATAAAAGTTTAAAAAAGAGGAATTGAGAAAATGAGAGCAATCATTTAAAGTGTATATGTTGGGTGCACGTTGTGTACAAAATAAATTAATGATTATTGACTATTATGATGCTATGGTCCAAAAGTTCACACTAGATAACTATATATAACATTTATCTATCATAAAATACTTAGTTTTATATGAATAATATATAATTATCACTGTATTTGCCATAAATTATATAGGTTTATATAGAAAACACAATTATCTATAGCTTATTGTCAATGTGTCCGTGTCCTATTTTTTTGAAAAATATCGTATTCGTGTCGTATTGTATTCGTATTTGTGTCCATGCTTCTTAAAATATAAGATTGCTATCAGAATTGAAAAGATGATGAGATATTTTTTTGTGGGAAGGGAGTGGTGAAGGAAAGAGGGATCATTTGGTGATTTCAAAGGTGGTTTCAAGGTCTAGGAATAAGCATAGACTATCAATGAAAAATTTGAAGGCTAGAAAATATAGTTTTAGTTGGGAAATAGCTTTGAAGATTCCCACAGTAGGGGTGGAGCTACATAGGTCTTAGTGGGGAACTGTACCCACTCAATTTTGTCACCCCACCCCCCCGCCAAAAAAAAAAAAGAACTCATACATTTTAATTTACTTAATTATTTTTTACATTTAGATTAAATTTTTTTACTCTCAATTAAGTGAACTTAATATTTGGTTTATTGAATCTGTCAAAAATGTGTTCAAGAAATCATTCTGAAACTCATCGTTCTCCTTCTCTAAATTTTGCCATCTCTTTCTCACAATTGTTAATTTATTTATATAATATGAAAATTAGTCAGTAACAATTGCAAATATAAGGTTTTTCCATTATGACCTAGACATCAATAATTCAAGTCCTGGAGTATTCTTTCACATGAGGGGTAAGACTATATACATTTGACTCTTCCCCGATCTAACAATTACGAGAATCCGCGCACTAGATAACCTTTTTTTATTCATTATTAGTTCAAAGTTTTTAATGAAATACTATTGAGTTATGATTTGGGAATCTTATTTGAGAATCTAATATATTGGCATCAAGGAATTAAGAGTGGGTCTTAGCATTGAACACAATCCACTTTGCTAAACCAGCGACAATAATGCATTAGGTCTCTAGATTAGTTTTCAGTCGGTGTCATGTATAATTGTTGTTGAAATTTTTACCCCAACTACACTAAATTTATGGCTTCTCCCCAGTCAACGCGAGCAAAACTCTTTATGGTATTTGGTTGTTAAGGGCAAATATGAATAACAAGCCAATGGATAGGATGCTAATGAAGCTGAGGGGGCAACTTATTGATGTCCATGGAAGTTCATCCCTCAAGGGCATGCACGGGTTGCCCAAATGACATTCATGGTGGGTAATGGGGAGACAGTTTGCTTATGGGAGGATGTTTGAGTTAGTTCATCATTATTCTCTTGTTTGTTTCCACGACTTTATCATTTATCTCATTGGCATGGGTCTTCTATTGCATTGGTCTGTTATTCTTCTCGTAATTCAGTTTCGTGGGATTTTGGTTTCCGTAACCATCTTGGTGATAGAGATACTAAGGAATTGCTATCACTCCTCTCTATGGTTGTTTCTTTCTTCGATACGCTGGTTGATCCCTCATGTTCTTTGTTTCATCCATCTGTGATGATTTGGAAATCTAAAGTGCCTATTAAGGTCTAAGTTTGTCCAGGACTATAACTCATGGTAAGATTAATACTAATGATGTGCATTAGAGAAGACGACCTTTCCTTTATATTTCTCCATAGTGGTGTGTGAGAGCAGTGATCATGTTTTTTTTTTACATTGCTCTACTGCTGTGCTTCTATTGTGCAAACTATTTCAAATGGCAGGTTTGAGTTGGGTGATTCGTGGGACTTTCTCCCCTCTTGTTTGTGGAGGGCGTTTTGGCAATTTTAGTCATTTTTTTTGGGTGATGCTCTTGGGGAAGAATACTAGAATATTTGAGGACAGAGAGGAGTGGAACGATGGATTATGAGATTGAACTTATTTCTTAGCTTTGTTGAGGGTCTCAACATCTAAGAGTTTCGCGGCATTCCACTCTTTAGCATTTTTGGCGGATTTGAGAGGGTTGTGTAACATAGTTTTTGTGATTCAATTTTTTGCTTTTTCTTTTTCTTTTTGGATGGACACCTTGTCCAACCATTTCTGTACTGTTCTTTCTTAAATCAATAAAATTGTTTTGTTTCCTATCACCCCCCCAAAAAAAAAAAAAAAAAGACTATTGTGAAATGCCAAAGAATAATGACTGCAGTGTTAATACACATCCTCTTCAATTAGTTCCATTCAAAATTAATTCACAATAGTGTCATGCAAAGCAATCGTGGCCTTGGGCTCTAGTGACAAAACTACATCAAAGAAAATTAATATGCCAATGAGGATTTCTTCCTAATCTTACAATTATTACACTGTTTTATCTCTTATGTTATAAATTAAGCCACAAACCAAGGTGGAAGAGCTGCAAGATCTGTAAGATTTGGCACCAAAACTAAATAGTCCCAATCTTGTTTAACCTAATTTTCGCCTATTATCCTATCATCACCATGCTAACTAATGAGGACCTTACATGTTGCTTTGAGCCCCCTCAGAAGATTGCGAGGTTGTTCATGAAGATCTCATGGAGATTAAACAAGAACTAAGTGCTTTAACTTCCAAGTTTGGTTGAGATGAATGCACACATAGAAAGAGTGCTGGCTGTCTTAAAGCAAAAAAAGCCACTGGACCAGCCCCAACTTGAGAATTAGCATCCTATAAGTCTTCTCAAAATTTGATTCCAATTTCTTATCATATTAAAGCATTTGCAGTTCTAACATGTTGATGTTGAGTAAACAAGGTTGAATGAATGGAGGTGCTTCAATATGCAACAATTGAATTTGATGATCATAGTCTTAACTCCTAAATATCAGGAAAGCAAAAAGGAGAAAGAACAAGAGAAATCTAAAGCTCTTGAAACAAAGGAAAAGGATGATAATAAGGTGAAGTTATTTTCGAGCAATCTAAGGTTGTACCTGATTTTCAAGCCATGCAAGCCATTGATTTCATTACTGTATATAAATTTAATGTCATGGAAAGGGATTAATATAATTTTATCCTTGTTGCTTCCAAAGTTCTATTTAATCCAGAGAGGTTTCGATATTTGATCTTTCCTAAGAACAAGTGCAAAGTTCATTGTTTATCAAACTTGTTACTGCAATGCTCGAGGTCAATGCTTTTAAATTGTGGGGGAGGATGATGCAGAACATACCACCAAGAAGGGCGCTTCAGAGATTTTGCTTGGAGCTGGCTTTGCAGCGTGTGTAATGAATCTATGAAAGCTCAAGCTTAAATTTGAGTTTTGAATGTTAACTTGAATTTGATAAGTTGCTGCTAGTCAAGAATGAGAGAGAAAGAGAGAGCCCTGGCGTCAACCACTACAATAGATTGCATAGAGAGAGAGACATGGACTTCACCCAATTAAGCAAAGCCAAAGCCATCTGAATTGAGATCAAGATTTGAATGAAAGGATTCACAATGGAATTTGAAGGGTCATCAGGTGGATTGTTTCATATTACCAAAAAGGAATTGAATTGAATCATGTATTTGTTGAATAGGAGCTGCATGAAATGGTTAAAGTAGTCAATTAATGGTGCTTTGATATGGAGAGGAAGGTGGTTTCTGTATGTGGGTTGAGGTGGAGAATAACAAATTTGGAGATTTTGTTAATTTAGAGTATCCAAATTGATGAATAATTGAAGGAGGACGGGTAAAAGTGTTGGAGGGAGTGGTTGGAGTGCTTTTGGAAAATTGCTGGATGATTCTATTAAAGGTGGAAACCATGCTTTACTGTTGGATAACAAAAATTGGGGATGGGTGGATGTAGGTAGGAGGATTGGAAAGAAGGGAAGGGCCGTGATGTCGCAATAGGAGGTTATTAAAGGAGATTAAAGAGATGGAGAAAGGTCCATGGAAAGTCATTCAAGAAGCTCTGGCTCATAGTTTGCAATTTAATGTTAAATTGCAAGCTTCCCAAACTTACAAAGCCATTTTTTTAGTGATAATAGTAGAGGCTGAGGAAGTTTGCAAAAAGAATTTGCTTATTTTGATAGAGAAGCTAAGGTGAAATTGTAGAGATTTGGATTGCAGTTGAGGGCCTTCCATTCCATTTGTGGCATCGCGATGTTTTTAAGAGGATCAGTGATTGTTGTGGTGGTGTCATTGAGGTTGATCGTTATAATGACAATCGCGAAAATTTGCTCTGGGCTAGAATTTGGGATCCATAAACCTCTGTCAAGCTTTCTCAAATGTTATTTGATGTTGAATATAATAGGAAGGTTTTCACCATCAAAATTATGTTTTTGCAAATTTGGGAACTCATGGAAAATGATGTATGGAGAAGGTAGTATGGAAAATTCATACACACACTATTAGAGAGGTTCAAGATGAAGTGAGGGTTTGGAGATGGGTACATGGTGCTATTTGCAGTAAGGAAAATAAGCAGGTGTGTGAAACTAAAGGTCAAAGTAGCAAACAAACGGGCAAAACACTTGGAGGTGTTTGCCAATTCATAATACAATTAAGGACACTAATTTTGTGGAGTCCTGAGATAATGGGCTGTCAGGAGTTCAAATTTTGAACAATTGGTTCCTATGAAAGCTGGAGTTTTATGCCTTAACAAAGGGAATTTGGACCAAAATATGGTTTGTAAGTATAATGTGGGCTTGAAAAGTCAAGGATCCTGGGCTGTGTCTGGATTCCAGAAAAGAGGTAGTAGAGATTCAAATATTGGGCTTAATAGAATGGACCTAATGGAGAACAAATTGAAAGAAAAAGTGAGATCTGCATTTCCTAAAGCTTCAGCCCAACAAATTAAAAGCTCAAAGACTCTCATTGAAGAGCTAGATGAAGGTTTCAATTATGCTATTAAGAGAGTTAGAGAGGTTCTATGGAGACGATTGAGGGAGAAGAACATGGTGAAATAGATGGTAATCAACCTCTCAATGGAGAGACTTCTCATGGCGATTGGAAGTGATAATAGCAAGTGATAA